TGTCAAGGTTGGTTAACTCTTGTGATTGTGACTACCTATATACTTACGTATAAGTGACGCGGTCGCGCGCGCGATGGAGGGCTACCGCGGCTCATGGGATAGTGTTGTTATATTGTATTATCTTATAGATAATCATATTTATTATGACGTATCGTACGCAGTCACATAAAAATCTGATATTACAATAAACGAGATGTAATGGAGAACATTCTCGCGGTCTTTTCTTATTCGGTACCGCTTGATAAATATCTCATGCGAGCATCGGATCGAATTCGTCAAAAAAAAAAAAAAAAAAAAAAAAGATGAAACAGAAAAAAATCGTCTTAAGTCATTTCTACTGTGCCTGTATAGTAGGTTTCATGTGTATCTCGTCAATGAGTAAGACTACGTATTATTATAGTTCACTGCATAAAAAAAAAAAAAAAAAAAGAATCACAAAAAATATGGCGTACTATAGGAAATAATTATCATGAATTTTATACAATCCATCAATAATTAAATAATAATGTGGCTATGCCACGTACATGTATTATATTTTCGTTTAGGGCGCGTAAATGCGTAATATCCGTAATCTATACGGATATTGCGTAGCTAACATTTAGTTCGGAATTTCGGATGATACACATTACAGTATACATAGATATCGAGTACTGTGCACTGTGTACATCGCCATTGAGAATGTCAGTTTAATAGATGTGTTAAATTTAAATGCATCGATGAATTGTTGCACATCTATAAAATATAAAAAGATTCCTCGCAAGACTTGTAGGTCTGTTAGCATAAATATGTATATAAATTTATTCTTTTAGGTTCATAAGATTTTTATTTAATCTGTTACAAAAAAAAAAAAATAAATAACAATAAGAACCATTGATGGTATATATCTAAAATAAATATGAAAAAATAAATAAAAAGGCAGATTAGACAGACTGCAGAAGCCTCTCAGCGGAGATAGGTATACTATGACATAGTGAAGAATTTTGTTAARCTAGCTGCAGGTCATGACACCATTGTCTTTTAAGTCTTTTAATCGGGTTGGCTTAAATATATTTTATGATGTTATTAAAAATTGATTGTACGATTATTTGTAAAAATGTATTTGGAATTAATTTTTGAAGATGTCATAGTGTGTTCAAAATAAAATAATCGATTGTATATGTTAGAAATTTCAAGTAGGTACCAATGAATATTATTTGTTTGAATTGCAACAAAATAAATAAAGTCGTTATATGTTCTTCGTTTAAAAATGTATTACTTCAAAATATGAACTCAAATGTCCGTGAAATAAATTGTGTATATATGGTTATAAAATTGTTCATAGGTAATATAATAAAACACTTATATATCAACAAGTACCAATATATAGGTAGGTAGTCGGTAGGTAGTATATATACGACTTTCTGAGCAATTATATAAACTCTATACGTAAGTAACTATAGATATTTGTCATTTAATGATGTCAGAAAGTTTAAGTTTAGAGGATAGGTAAAACTCTTGTCAATGGGTATTCGTCTTGAAATTTTTTTATAGTATTGCCTGTATAGTCTATAATATATTAATATCTAATATATTTAAGCGTATTTTACTTTAATTTCGATMTAGTAAAAATTTATTATTACATTTTATTTTAGATTTTATGTATACAATGTGAGACATGTTTCTATTTATTTTCCCGTGCATTATTGTTTGTTTTTAATCACTTGTCTATAATTGACTTGGAAGAACCGAAAAGACAAGATTTTGATTTTCTCTGTATAGTTTCTCCTAGCGTACATACAATATTAAAAGAATCGTCGAAAGAAGTCATTTAACCGAGCTCCAACACCAAGTTTCTGTATTTTGTAAACAATTGTTTAATATGTCATCTAAAAATCACCTTGTCCCTATAAAGTGTGAAAAAAAAATTATTGAAAATATTTTCCTTGACACGTTATGTGATGATTAAATTCTATTATTCTCATGTATATAATAATTATTTATGTACAATGTACAAATAATTGTTTTAATTTATAGTCCTTTAATTTTTTTCTATTTATAGGTACTTGATTATAGTTATTAAATATAAGGGTCAATAACTCAATAATACAATTGAGATAATCGTTATTTAACATAATATTATGTACAGCAACAACTATTTTATTATTGTAGTAAACTGTTTGGCGTATTGCATTTTCTTATCACTCCGAAAATTTTACTCAAATTTGTCAATGTTATAAATTACTTTTTATAGAATTTACAGCTCATCATGATGTATTAAGACTGATATTTAACGCATAATTTTACGACGGAAAGATATACCTACTTAGAATAATTAATAAACTTTTTCATCTGTCATTTGTATAATRTTATTTGGTTTCAAWRAAGTCTTATAGATTTTGTGTTATAAAATTTACATTTGTACACACGCGGCACAAAATATATCATTGATATATCAATAAACATTTATACATAGGGATATCGTATGTATAGTCTAGTTTTTTGATTTTCTTTTGAATTGCCCAGACAGGAAATGGAAATGTTCATTAATGGTCAACTGGTCAGGCACGTACACAGCGTACCTTATAGTTTATAATATTATATTATACATGATGTATAGTAAAGGTAGTAGTAACMACAGCAATAGCCCAAACCAGGGGCTAGTTATAATAATATACAACGCTGTAATCATTTATAACCTACCAAGTTGTGAAGAACGGACGATAAACGGACGGACACCGAAGTCGACGGATGCGGCGACACAATACGATATATCATTATCATTATTATTATTATTATTATTATTATATTATATTATAGTGTACTGTCAAAACGTGTGAGGTAAAGTAGGGAAGATGAAAAAAAAAATAATAACAACAACAACAAAAAATAGAATATCTCGTAGCAATCGAACACAATCTGTGTGTGTGTGTGTCGATATAATATAATTTAATAATAATAATAAACAGGGTGTGATGATGGTAATGATAATGACGAATCGGATCTGTTCGGGTTAATTTCCGTGTGCCGGAACGAAACGTGACGGACCACCCACCGGTGCGTAACGACGGCGGCGACCGGCGGACGAGGATGCGGAAAAAAATCGCCAGTCCACCAACATCGCAACGCCCATGGTTTGACGTTGGTCATTATTATTATTTATTATCATTATATCTATAGTATGTCAGTTTATATATTATACCTACACGTCGTGTGTGCGATTTTTTCTCGTTCGTCGCCGTTGACAGTCGTGGGAATGCAAATTTTTCCAGTCCACGTACCCGTGTCCAATCGCACACGTTCACGACAACATATTCATATTTATCATTATATTATCTCAGAGTAGTTTGACTACGATAAGTACAATATATAATAATAACAATATTATTATTATTGTTATTACTTATTATTTATATCATATTATTTGGCGTAAGTGTTAGCCGCCGACGACGCTATCGCGATGTCCACACATTGTGCGGATGTTTAATAATTCCCATCGCCTTTCTCTAAGAAATGTGTTGAATTCTCGCATCTATCTTTTTGTTACTTGTTYGATATTTTTGTTTTTGGAATTCGGTTGTAATATGCAAACCATCTCCTAGTTTTGGGTTTCAAATATTTTACGATCGAGTAACCCTCAAAGATATAAACCTCAATCAACTGTCCGACGACATAATATGTAGAACATACTATAGGACCTGTTCTTTCTAACACCAAGCATAATATTCGTATTCCTTCAGGAGACAGGACGCTAGGACAAGCTGTGTCACTGTACGAGCATACACAAAATGTTATATTTGTGTATTGTGTATACTCAAAATAAATAAATAAAAATGTTTCTCTCACAACGTTTGACCCCAATTCCAAGGGTTATCTAAATAAAAAAATAATGATAATGATGATGTAGGTACCTACTTATAATAGGTATTTAAAATACATTGATCATGTTTTTGATCTATTTTGAMGGGTCTGCTTACATATGCTACGTATAAACAGGCATCATATTTATTATTTTATTTGAATATTGTCTCACCTGTTTGCCAACGAAACCGAATARCATTCTAGACCCCRAGCAAGGCTGAGCTGATGACTGATAACTTTATAAAGGTACAAAATGAACAGTTTAAATTTTTTTTACCTATATAGGTAAACAATAACATTAAGTATAAACGCTCCAATAGTAGGTATATTATTTTCAGTAGACGGAGTAACTTATCTAACCACTATASGTACAGCCACACCAATAAGGTTCACCATAGAAAAAACTAAGCGTAATATCATAAAGCATTAACTACAGATTTTAAATACATCGACTTGTTCATGTATTATTGTTATTCGTGTACCTATGTTTCGTTCTAAGAAATATAAAAAAATAATAATACTATTATTACATATTTGTTTAAAATAGTATATACATTATACCTATAATGCCTGGATTATTTATATTTCCAGTAACACTTTAATAACTTTGTTAAAAGGTTGTATTATAAGTAAATAAAAGTAATAATTAAAATTTATTTTCAAATATTTTAAATTTCTAGATTCTTATTTAAGTTTATATGGAATCAATAGGAATCATATTTCTAAACCGAACCGTTAGTTATCAAAATGACTAACTGTTATCATAAATTATATTATTTAAATAATGGTTTGAAGTTGAAATTGAAACACATTTTTTATACTTAATTACATAGGTAGGTATATCTGCAGCTTTGATGTATGATTACTGTTATTATTTGTTATGTAACTTCATAATACCGTATTCATAAATTTATTATTTGGKYTAATTTTATGTAACTTATTATTTATGAACGCATAGTTATGTAGAGTTCGTTTCAATTTGTAGGCTCTTTGTAAATGAKCCTTTTGAAAACGATTCTATTCTAAACCTTCATAAATATACTTAACGGATTTTTATAATAATTTCTTTGTTATAATAAAAACATTAGAAAACTACAATATTTTGTCCAAAATATTATCTAAGTTTCATTGATTTTAAAATTATGTTTGTTTTTTTTTTACAGGTTTGTCGGAAACGTAATGCAATAGAAATCACATTGAGCTCTTTTGGATATTCAATTCRTTATACGATGGTGACATGTTGAACTGACTTTAGAGTCATTTGTACAACGATCGATTTGTTTGATTGATTGTTAACACTTTTAATAATTTAAATTAATTTTTTCAGCACTTTCGAACATTGTTCAGAACAGTTTGTTTTCTATATTATATTACATACTGTGATTTGGAGTTCATCTATGAGGATACCCTAGTTTTCGCCACGAAAGTACTTCGTCTTAAACCATAAGTTAAGTCATGTGTACAGTACTAGTTTTATAATACCTACTGTTGTTATCGTTATTTTAAAATATATTTCTGATTAGTTTTTTTTAGGTATAAAACAGCAGCTACACCTGCAGCCATGAACGAATGAAAACGATGCCGTCATCTCTGTATAAGTTTAAAATTTAGAATATTTGTAGGTATTGTAAACAGTTATAACGAGCACCTATAATAATATCGGAGTAAAATTATATTGTATAACAGTGGATAAATGGATCTGTGATTAAGTCATTTTATTGTACTCGATAAAAAAATAATCCGACCAAATTAACATAACATGTTAATGTTATATGACATTGTGTTGATAGGTAAAACAAAAAGCGACAGTAAACAGAACCAACGTTTTTCGGCACACGTTTGCAACCGTTTTAGGTATAACGTACAGCAATTCGGGCCGTATAATAATAATAATAATAATATTCACACAAATGCCACGAAAGTCGTGTACGAATGGAAGGGAATCGAGTGTATAATAATAATAATATACGATGGTATATAATATTATGCGGTGATGGGGTTAGTCAGTTAGGTGTCGTGTGGGAGGAGAGCCACGTTGCGAAAACTTAAAAATAAAAAAAGTCGGTTATGGTGGGCCAATCGAAAAGCAATCCCGTCTTCGGCGGCAAAAGAAAACGTGTATATATATTATTGGCTGTAGGGTGCTGAGGAAGTGGGTAGCGGAGTTTATATTGCCGTCCGATAAAAAGGAAACTCCTCTTTATTTCCGGAGGTGGGAAAGGGGCAGGGGAGGGAAAAAAACTAAAAACGAAAAAAGGAGAAAGAARGCAGGGGCCGGCGGGGAGAAAATAGAAAGAATATAAGGAAAGGATAAAGGACCGTTTTCCATCCCGAGATTTCGTCCCGGACGCAAAATAATGTATACGACGACCACCGCCACCACCATCACCATCGCCACACCGTATATAATATATATGTATACACACTCGGGCGCGGATTGTAAATGCGCGAGCTTTACACATGATTGCGTCCGAACGGTTACCAACGGCAACGGTCCCCTCCCCCCCGCGCCGCAGCATCCGATATCGTCTCCCTGCCGATATATCTATCCCCCCCTCCCCTCGCCCATCACTCGCGTGTACTACCGCCGCCGTCGCCGCCGTGGGATTTTAATACAACCGACTTTCATTGCGGTAAAAATAATGCTGCCCTCTCCTGCACCGATCGAAGGGCGGGCGGACGGGCAGGCGGTCGCGTGCAAGCGCAGTCGTCCGCCGCTCACCGTGGTCCGGGGATTGCACCACCCCGCGCTGCGCCTATCTATACACGACCACGCGCCTTCCACTCCCAAAAGCGACCCGAAAAGCGCCCTTTTTCGCGAAATCGTAGGCAATAATCAATAATTATACATACATATATATATATATGTACGAGCCGACACACACACACACACACTGCAAAACGACGGTACACACACGGTGCAGTGTGTGCAGTGCTATATATATATATAAATACAACGAATGTGTATTAGGGCCCTCGTTTCGAATTCGCCACCACTCTCCTCCTGCCAGCGTCTCGAAGGATTCGGCTGACGATTAGCCAGCCGGCAACRGACTCAGTGGTGCACGTCGTCTATAAACTTATATATATTATATATATATTACATAATATATGTATATACGGTGCCCGTGGCGGTGACGTGAGTGCGCGCGCGCTTACACGCACGTAGGGTGTACGACCTTTGCCCGTTTTCCTCGGTAAATTTCCGTAAGTCCTTAACTCGGCATCCCACCCCAAAGGGGTACGAGCGAACGACTGATATTATAGGGATAGAGAGAGAATTACTATTCATATAATATATTATACATATACACTTGACATATTTTATGTACGATACACATGGCCACATGGGCGATGGGCGATGGGCATGGGCGATGGGCATGGGCCTAAATGACTAATATATCATAGTATAATATTATTATTATTATATAAATGTATTATGTGTTACGTATGTGTTGTTTGAATATTGTGTTAAATAAAACCAACCAGGTTTATCTTTGAAACAATGTTTGCCACGGTGTGGCGCAATTGGATATTTTTTGAATAATATGCGCAAAATTTGTTGAACAACCGCATCCACCGTATTCGTTGAGCAACCGTAATTTCCGTCGAGTCAATCAATTAAAAGAAAAATKTACACTCTTTATATTTTATGTATAGRCAACAAAACTCTAAAGATTGAAGTTAGCTGAGATTAGTGTTCGGTGTATAAGTTTCGACCAATTATTTGTCTGCGTTTTCTATACAAGCTAGCGTATATAGAAAACTGAAGTACCTACTCGTATAGCAGCTCAGGTTTTAAACATTTTGACGTCACGACTCATGATCGATATATTTTAACACTGATTTAAACACAACTATAATAATCGAAGTATACGCGCGTGCAAGATCGATGCACTGGTGATTGGCATAATTAGTGAAATAATCGTAACACAAACTCKGTTCGGGGTTTTCAACGAAACAATTTAATTTTATAGCCTTTATACGACGACGTTTGCCATCGATACGTGTCTAGACTTTGGTTTCGCACGAAACGTGGGGAACCTCGCAGGACGTTTAGAACAAGAGACGCACCTTATCAATTAAAATATCGTTTTCTGAAATCCCCACGGAGTTTTCGTGGACAATTATATTATACTCCGAGGTATGGAGAAACCAGAAACAACCAACTGGGCTAAATCGTCAAACTAGAAAATTGAAAAGGTTTAAATAAAACCAACGCGATCGTTTGGCCGTCGAATCCGTCGCGTTTAGATGATCGTATCGGTGGTCCTGTGTTGTTTCATTAAAACACAATGAGGCATAGAATAATGTAAAAAAAAAAAAACAAAACAAAAAAAAATCGATAGAATAAAATAATATATACATATCGWTCGTTTCGGTCGGTGAGCAAAGTGTGTGAGAACAGCAAATCAGCAGTGCGGTGCGGATCTATATAGTTTCGAATTATATACAATGATTTTTTTTCTTTATTGAAATCTTCAAAGATAGTAGAAACAATGGTAGTGATGTTTAGTGCTAAAAGAGTCATCTTGTACACAGTGGAAAGGTGTGCGTATCAAACGTGATTTCGCTCAAACGCGCACGTCAATAACAAACTACGTTTTATGGGATTAACATGAGAAGGAAACGTCATAATCCATACCTATCTRTTCTGTTGATTGTTTAACTCATCAATAATTACCTCGCACGTTTCATAGGATACATTTTGAGGCATATAACAAATTAACAATATAAATAATACTTAGCTGTATATTATTATTGTACTACCTAGGCATTAAGGCAAAAATGGTCTAAGTKGTTTGTGTCAACTTTAGCAACTATGATTTATTTTGCATACAATAATATAATATTAATATAGTAGGTAGTATTGTTGCGCCTTGCACAAGGTGTTTGTAAAAARATTGATAAATTATTTGAAATCAATGCATAAAAAGAATAGGTACATTTTTTATTGTAAGGTGTCTAAATCTCAACGTTATGAAAGAATTATACGTAACATTTGTAGTTATAACGTGTAAGTGTGTAACTAATTTATTATAACTAGGTATATTGTTAAATTACAAATTCACATGATTCAACAAGGCAGTTCATCTTGATTTTTTGTGTTTTAAAATTTAAAAATGAATTTATTTGAATTATAATTTTTGAAGCTTTTTATTAGGTAAATATAACTAACCATAAATTCAGTATCATACCATTTATAAGTTATGAATGTTCTGAGAAAAAGAAACTAAACCAACTTATTTTTTTCAAATTATGATTTTTATTTTATATATAAGCTGCAGATATTTTTTGTAAATGTTGATGTATAGGTAAATTTTAATTTGAACAAGTCATTTTTAAATCATTTAATTTTGGATCCTAAGAAAATAGTCCCATAGAGATAGCTGTAAAAACTAAAAAATACGAAGGCTATGATGATTCGAAAATTATAGTAATCATGGATTTATATATATATATATAAATATTTTTATATATTATTGTTATTATGTAACATATACTTTAAACATTTTTATAAATCTATAATTAAAGGCTTTTATTCTTGGTACATACATTAACTTAAAAATAACTTGTTGAAATTTTGATATAAATTGATAAATTGAAGTATGTATTTAAAAATATAATTGTCATAATAATTTACAGTAAAAASAAAAAAGAAGTTTGTACCACCACTRGGCCCTCTTGAATGATATAAAAAAAATCTAAGTACAAGTRCTTAGGTAGGTATTTAATATATGGTCGATATAAATTTATTTTAAAATTATAAAAATTAGAATAACTATAAATTCATTTTTAAAAGATTAAATGAGGATCATCATGGTCAGTGAATCAAAAAATATTGAAATAACTTCACTGGTATAACATTTAGTACCCACGAATTAGTACGTGAATTAGGTACATTATAATAGGTTTCTTTTTTCAACTAGTCAGACTGATGGTATAGTCTTATACATMCTAAACATTTTTAATTAAAAGTAAAARTAGGGTATTAATAATTATGAAGCCCCCTTTAAATTAATTGCATTAAAATAGCGAYGGATMAAGTGTACATTTWWAAAAAAWTTATTTTATTRCCGATAACGCACTTTAATATTATTATCATGTGTGTAGTGACGTGACTTACAACCACCGAATTAATGGCTATTACAGCCGTTACATAGAACGATAGCCAAAAATCGTCATCGTTATGCGTTTAAAATCATAAAATCTTCGTTTATTATTAGCGCAGTACAAAAMCAAGGAAAACAGTCGTGCGGTTTTCATGATAAAAAATATATAWAACGATCTCTTTTGACGAAACGCAATTTGATTTCTATAACATTTGCCCCGCACGCTGMACCATTGCACGCACTTGCGTGGGCCACGTCGGCTGACAGATAATAATACATCTTCGAGTCGACTTTATGGTACTCGGATAACGAAATATAATAATATATAAATGTACTCGAACTTTAGTGGCACTTATGTGACATAACTCGTATGCTTTCTCATAACGGAGGGTCTTAAAGCTTTTTTAATAACTTAACGAGACACGGAATACGACGTCAAAAAAAAAAAWATATATATAAGAAAAAGAAACAAAAGCCAGCGGATGTATGGTTTATATTTTTTATTATTTGATGCCGGTCGAGACGATAAAATTCGCTCGGCTCTCTCCGGACCTCCGGGCCGGGAACTATTAACAAAATCCAAATAAATATTAAATTTTATTCGTTGAACTTCGGAAAATTCGGGTCAGGGTATTTTTATTTTCATTTTATTTTTTTATTTTTAATGTAATTTATGTCTTTTATATTTTTTCGTTTCACTGTTATAGTTTGAAAAATGTCGACATAATTTCACTATAAAACCACAAGAACGCTAAGGTATAAAAATGTTTAATGCATGAACACATAATAGGCAAGCACAGATATTGTTGGCAGAGTGTAGTCACATATTTATTTATTTATGATTTAYACCCAAATTTTATCACTACAACATTTTCCCCTTAACTTGTCATTAGTAAAGTCAGCTTGGGTAATTCCTTAACTATTTTATCTTAAAAAAAATAAAAAAAATATGGAACACATAAATAATCATTATAATAGCATAATATTACAATTTACATAAAATAAATCGATAATCAAATAAATACATAACATACGTGATAATTTATTTAATAAAATAATTCAACATTTACGATCTAGAGACCACGTAGTAATTAATAAATATTATTTTGTAATAAACTACCATTACAGTATATATTATTTTTATACAYAGCATAAGATATTTTTATTTTTATTTTTTTTTATTGAGCATAGGTATTTACATCGACAACTAAGGCCTAGCATAAG